GCTACCAAAAACCCGAATCGGACCGAATATAATGGGCTTTGTTCCGGTCCCTAATTTTCATAACCCGAGACCTTCCGGACAATTTCCGGATTTAACAAAAAACCCGACCCAGACCGGACCGATCTCACCCCTACTCTATACAAATCTATTTAAGGTTTTACTTCACTAATTTCAAATCTATTTAATCTATTCTTACGCTAAAGTGTTTTCATACTTTCATTTGAAACATTATAAATAAATTCGGTACAATTTTAAAAAAACTACTGAATGAAAAAGTGTTGCATAAATTTCAATTATAAAGTATCTCCTATTCTATGAAACTCCTGATTCTGGTGTCGGTTGTCGTTTCCTCAACGAAACGGCGGAGCAGTGCTATGTTTAATTCTGAAGTTCGTTGGTGGGCCTTCAAATCATCATCGACAAGATTTGTTTCACAGATCTTTCTTTCCTGAGAATGTCAAACTCTTTTCCTTCTTCATACGCACACAGAAACATTAGATACAAAGAAAACTTGTTAGTCGAACTTTTTGTAACAGTAGACCTAGAATCAGTTATTTAGTTTTTTTCAAAAGATTTGATATTGTTGATTTAAAAACACTTTTTCCTTTTGATAAAGAAGCAAGTTGTTTAGGGGAGAGGATATGTTAGCATATTGCGCATGAAACTCATTAAATAAATTATGAAATGTATTACTAAACTCATTGAATTGCGATTGAACATCAATCGGGTGGTCGTCTTACATAGGCAATTCGTTATAGAAATAACTATAGTAGTACTCTAAAAATATTTTCCATCAACCAAAATGAGTTGTCTTGCCGTTATCATCGCCATGTCGGCCACCACATCGACAATTGCCACTCCTTAAAACGGCGATTGAGAGGTTGATTGAGAGGGGACACCTAGCTCAATTTGTGATGGGTCCCATAACTAGGCAAACAGTTGGGTCAATCTCAACACGAGTAGGGGAGGTGCCCCCCACGGGAAAACGTGCGAAATTGGCAACCTTAGTGACGAAGACGAGGGACATGGTTGTCTCCTTATAAAAACACCACATCACCTTCATTGTCGGGGGAAATACAGGGGGGATTCGGCCACCCAACCGAAAAAGTGGGCTCAATCCCTATGAGCCTATACTTTGGGGAAGTCAACCATGTCCCTTCCCCCTCGGAGAAGTGAGCTAGGTCGGATCCTATCTCATTTTCCGACAGAGACTTGCCTGACGGCTCCACCCCTACAGGGGTGCTCTCATCATCAAATGCGAGATCAACAATTTTATCATCCACCGCACAGACATCGACACGAGCAGCTCCGTGAATATCATGTATCTTAGAACATTCAGACAGCTTGGCCTTGACAGAGCAGCTCTCCGCCCTATCCGAACTCCTCGATGCCGATATCTCGATCTCATTAATGGTCAAGGTGCACGACGGGACATGTGGAGCCAAACTAGAAATGGAGTTCGTTGTCAACCTCGATTGCACCCACTGTTAGAAATATGCCCTAGGACAATCATAGTTTATGATTTATCAATAAATATTTAATGCTCATTAATTAATAAAGTTGCAAACTCATTTTATGTTAATTATTATTGTGAGTTTTCTTTATTAATATTTAGTCCCTGAATATTCTGTTTAGTAGCTAATTAAGTATGTGACTTAATTGTGGAATGCTACACTTTAAAATAAACATAATATTCTAATTGTCCCTGGTCTAATATTATTAATTTGGGACATTAATAATTAATAGACCAGTATGTGGATTAACTGATGGCTATATTCCACTAGTCATGGGTATAGAGATATCAAGTTAATAACATAGATGCTTGTTAGGGAACAAGTTCATTGGACAGACCCAACTTGGGGACACTGCTAGGTTATATGTCATCAGTGTTGTCCTCAATAATGATGAGGTGCTATATTCTTATACTTGAGATAATCATGGTTACTAGCATGAGAATTAATATGTATTAACACCATTAAATGTTATCTTTAACTGGATAATTATAAAGGTGGTGATTGTACATATTATGAACCATGTAGTAGTATGTGAATTATCAAGATAGTTTTTGTCACTCTTGTACATCGAGAGAAAGATATCTATTGGGCCCCTTGACAAGTAAGATTAATTAGCATGGCCATGCTCAAATGAGGTGTCATTTGATCAAGATTAATCTTACTTGGTAATCAAGAAATATTAATTGAGAATAACAAGGATGACACGACCTAACCTTGTCTCAATTAAGATATCGTTTGACAAAAGAGAATTATTAGCACAAATTAATCATTAAAAGGTTATGTCAGATTTAATTGACATTTATATATTTTGGATAGTCATAATGCCTTGCTAGAGACCGCTTATGATTTGTGAGGCTCGAATTAATTTCTAGCCCACTGCCAATAATATATAAACCTACAGGGTCACACACCTAAGTGATTTGGATCATTAATGTTTGTTAATAACATTAAAATAGCTTGATTAGCCCAATTCGAAAGAGGGTTTCGAATGGTATTGGGCTAGGGCCTCTTTAAGGGTTTTATTAGCCATAAAACTCCTTCTTTCCACCTCTTATAAATAGGGCTAAGGAGACCCACGAATTTTAAGAGTTAAAATTCACTTCTCAAACCTAGAGTAGAGAGGAAGAAAGAAGAGAACGCTAGCACGTTCCCTGCGGCCGATCCAGTCACGTGCGTGTGGATACCAGTAGAGCTCGGGATCGTTTTCTCGGACTGTCTGACATCCTTGATTAAGATTGCTATGTAAGTCCCTCTTAAATTCTTGTAATTTCGTTTATAATAAGAACCTCAGATCCGTTCATTTACTTTTGGGTAGAAAAATTTTTGTTTATTCCGCTGCGTTTTTCTGCCCGAAACCCAACAGTGGTATCAGCGCCTACGGTTCTTTATTATACTCGGGTTACACGATTTGATGTATAATCTATAATTTGATTATTTTGGGATTTATTTTCGGAATTAATTTTTTTTATTAATTTCGAAATTATTGATATATTAATTTCGGAATTTATATGTATGCTATATTCCGAAAGTTTATAAGGATGTGATTTTCGAACAATTCGAACTTGATCCAATATATATTCACAATAATATTTGGAATATTTTGTGATAATATTTATTTTACAAATCAGATCTGAATAGATTAGGAATTGGATGGAATCCTACAGCCTAATTATTCGGAAGAGATTTGAATGGACATGAAAATTCAAGAGTTTGAATTAGATCCAATTTGATACTTATAATTTATGTTTCATATTCGGAATAATTTTGAGTACAATTAGGATTTTGAAAAATTTGGATTTTGATTCAAAATCTATTTCAAAGTCCGAATATAACTAGTTTATATTGCTTCGTATCAATTTATTGCTTTGTACTACTATTGCAAGATATTACTAGTTTATATTACTTCGTAGTATATTATTGCAAGATTCGGATTTTGATTCAAATTCTAATTCAATATTTATTGCTTCGTATCACATTCGGATTGTGGTATATATAGATTTCCAAATTTGAAATCAATAAAAAGATTGAATTAGATCTAGTTTATATTTAGACCTAATCATGGAAGTTTTAGCTTCTCGTTTTTCGGATGAGATCCGAATTGATTTTACAAAGTTATTCTTCAATTATACAAATTTAGTGATTTGCCAAATTAGTTCAGATCGAAGAATACACTATTAGTTGGGATGAGATCCATATTATAACATATTGGAATTCATCTATATTATGGATATGTTATCTGGGAAATTCGAATTTAATCACAAATTAATTATTTTCGAATTTTAGTTTATTAATTTTTATTCGTAGTTATATATGTGTATTAATCTATATTACGGATATGATCTGTATTTGTGCATATGTAATACGAATTATTTTAGAATTCATTAAATATATGTATTTTTCCGGATGAGATCCGAATTAATTACATATTATTTGCGGATTTTAAAATTTAATTTTCAATCCGTGCATGCGCAATTATTTTGCTCCGTCACAGGGACAGCTTGAAGTGGTGGTATAGCATGATCTGAATGTATGTTTTATATTATGTTGTTTTACGGCCTGCGTGCCGTTTCCCACTATCCCCTGTAATGTTTTTCAACCCCGTAGATTTTTTAGTAGTACACTACACAGGTTGAAGATGTCAAGGAGATATGAAGATTTTGGGATCATGCTATATCACTGCACTAGTTTTAAATTATTTTTTTTAAATATTTGATTGCGGCATGTGTGTAATTATTAGTCCCGACTAATTATAAGTCTAAATTGCTTTCCCAATATGACCACCATTTAAACTATGCTAGTCGTGATATGTGTCTGCCAAAGCAGAGCATTTCACACTATCTTAGGAAGATGTTTTGAATGATCGTCATTCTCGGGTCTTAACATTGGTTTGGACTTACAAGGCCATCAAAATGGTTTTGGGCCTTGAAGCAAGGAGTGTTTGGATAATCAAATAATGTTGACCAAACAAACCAAGAGTCATATATGATATGATTAACAAGAGTTGTTTACCTAAATAACTAATTTTTAAGTGATAAGCCAAAGCTTACTTAAACTTTAGTGAAATATGGATCTTGGACCACTATATTTGGGACTTTCTATTTAATATAGTGGGAGTTATTTTTGAGCATTATTTAAAATTCTTTGCATTATTTGTTGTAGTAAATATGGCCGCCAACACAACTTTTTCACTGCGATCTATCCTTGAGAAGGAAAAACTTAATGGAACAAATTACATGGACTGGGATAGGAATCTGAGAATCGTTCTCAAACAAGAGCGTAAAGAATATGTCCTTGACCAACAAATTCCTGCTGAACCAGCGGCCAATGCTGCTAGAGCCATTAGAGATGCTTATGAAAGGCATGTCCGTGATGAAGTTGATGTCACTTGTCTGATGATTAACTATCATGGAAGCTAATCTTCAGAAACAGTTTCTGAATCGTCGTGCCCATGACATCTCTAATGAACTCAAGAACTTGTTTCAGAAACAAGCACGGATCGAAAGGTTCGAGACGACCAAAGCTTTGTTTCACACAAGGCTTACTGATGGAAACCCGGTTGGACCTCACGTGCTCAAGATGATTGGGCTTAGGGATCACCTGGAAAGACTTGGATCTCCAATTAGTCAAGAGTTGGCTACTGATGTGATTCTCGCATCACTCACTCCGGCATATGACCAGTTCATCATGAACTATAATATGCATGGTCTTGAGAAGACCTTAACCGAATTGCATGGAATGCTCAACTCTGCTGAGCAAAACATCAAGAAAAATCGGAGTGACATTTTGATGGTCAAAAAGGGGAAGGGATTCAAGAAGCATGGTAATGGCAAGGTTGGTGGAAACAAGAAATCCAAAACTCTGGTTAAGAACTCGGGTAAAAGCAAATCGGTTGCTAGCTCTTCTTCTAAAGAAGAGCAAAAATGTTTCCACTGCAACAAAACTGGTCATTGGAAGCGGAATTGCAAGGCATATTTGGAGGAACTGAAAAAGAAGGGGCATGGTGATGCTTCCAATTCAGGTATCTATGTGATAGAAGTAAATGTTACTACCACTACTTCATGGGTATTGGATACCGGTTGTGGTTCTCACATTTGTTCAAATGTGCAGGGACTAACAAGGAGTAGAAGGCTGGCTAAAGGTGAAGTTGACCTACGAGTAGGCAATGGTGCAAAAGTTGCAGCATTAGCAATAGGGACATTTACTTTGAATTTGCCCACGGGCTTAGTTTTAGAACTTGATAATTGTTATCATGTACCTGCCATTAGCAGGAATATTATTTCTGTTTCTTGTTTGGACAAGAAAGGATTTCATTTTATAATAAAGAACAACATTTGTTCTATTTATTTTAATGAGATCTGTTATGGTAGTGCTAGTCTCATAAATGGACTTTATGTTCTAAACCTTGAAATGCCCATCTATCACATAAATACAAAAAGGTTTAAATCTAACGACTCAAACCCAACATACCTTTGGCATTGTAGACTAGGCCATATAAACGAGAAGCGCATTAAAAGACTCCATTCTAGTGGATTTCTTGATTCTTTTGATTTTGAATCAATCGAGGAGTGTGAATCTTGTTTATTGGGTAAAATGGCCAAGTCACCATTTACTGGTAAAGGTGAAAGAGTTCACGGTTTATTGGACCTCATACACTCGGATGTATGTGGCCCAATGTCAACAATGGCCAGGGGAGGTTTTCAGTACTTCATAACATTCACTGATGACTTCAGTAGGTTTGGTTATGTGTACCTAATGAAGCATAAACATGAAGCTTTTGAAAAGTTCAAAGAATTCCAGAATGAAGTTCAGAATCAACTTGGCAAAACAATTAAGGCCATTCGATCAGATCGAGGTGGTGAATATTTGAGCCAGGAATTTAGTGATCATCTAAGAGGATGTGGAATTGTTTCACAACTCACTCCGCCAGGTACACCACAATGGAATGGTGTGTCCGAACGGAGAAATCGGACCTTGTTAGACATGGTCCGTTCCATGATGAGTCTCGCTGAACTACCAATCTCTTTCTGGGGTTACGCTCTTGAAACCGCTGCATTCATACTCAATAGGGCTCCAACAAAGGCTACAGAAAGGACACCATATGAGATATGGACAGGAAAGGTTCTTAGTCTAGCTTTTGTGAAGATTTGGGGTTGTCAAGTTTATGTAAAACGTTTACTTTCATATAAACTTGAACCCAAATCAGATAAGTGTTTATTTGTGGGTTATCCTAAGGAAACAAAAGGATATTACTTTTACAACCCATCAGAGAACAAAGTGTTTGTTGCTCGTAATGGTATTTTCTTAGAAAGAGAATTTCTTTCCGAAAGAACCAGTGGGAGTAAAATTCGGCTTGAAGAAGTTGAAGAAGATCAAGATAGTCAGACTATGCAAGCAGTCCCACAACCTCAGCCACAAGTTGTTGTGGATACGTCTGAGATAACACTCGCTCCAAGGAGGTCATCTAGGGTACGTAACGAACCGGTTAGATACATGTTTATCTTAACTGAGCATCGTGACGTATTATTGATTGACGAAGATGAACCTTTGACCTACCAAGAAGCAATAACGAGCCATCACTCCGATAGTTGGCTAGAAGCCATGAAATCTGAAATGAGATCCATGGCTGATAATCAAGTCTGGGACTTGGTTGATCTACCTGATGGTTGTAGAACCATTGGGTGCAAATGGATCTACAAAAAGAAATTGGATAAAGATGGCAATATAGATGTGTATAAAGCACGTTTAGTGGCGAAAGGTTACAAACAAATTCATGGTATAGACTATGATGAAACATTCTCGCCAGTTGCCATGCTTAAATCAATTCGGATTCTCTTAGCAATTGCCGCTCATTTTGATTATGAGATTTGGCAAATGGATGTCAAAACTGCTTTCCTAAATGGAAATCTAGAAGAGGACGTGTATATGATACAACCTGAGGGTTTTGAACATCCAAGTAATGCTGGGAAGGTATGCAAGCTTAAAAGATCAATTTATGGTCTAAAGCAAGCATCTCGGAGTTGGAATCTTCGTTTTGATGCTGCAATCAAAGAGTTTGGTTTCAATCAAAACGAAGAGGAACCTTGTGTTTACAAGAAATTGAGTGGGAGTGCAATCACTTTCCTAGTCCTATATGTAGATGACATACTTCTCATTGGGAATGATGTTCCAATGCTTTCGTCTGTAAAGGCTTGGCTTGGAAAGTGTTTCTCAATGAAAGACTTGGGTGATGCATCCTATGTGTTAGGGATCAAGATCTATAGAGATAGATCTAGAAAACTAATAGGACTAAGTCAAAGTAACTACATTGACAAGGTTCTGCATAGGTTCAATATGCAAGATTCCAAGAGAGGATTCTTGCCTATGTCACATGGCACATATCTCAGCAAGACTCAGTGTCCACAAACACAAGATGAGCGAGATCGGATGAATAGAGTCCCTTATGCTTCTGCTATAGGTTCTATCATGTATGCTATGTTATGTACTCGCCCTGATATAGCTTGCGCTCTAAGCATGACTAGTAGATACCAGTCAGATCCAGGTGATAGTCACTGGATAGCAGTCAAGAATATTCTAAAGTACTTGAGAAGAACTAAGGATGTATTCTTGGTCTATGGTGGTGAAGATCAGCTCATTGTAAAAGGTTACACAGATGCTGGGTTCCAATCCGATAAGGATGATTTTAGATCGCAGTCAGGATTTGTGTTTTGCCTCAATGGCGGAGCAGTGAGCTGGAAGAGTTCTAAACAAGACACGGTGGTTGATTCTACAACAGAAGCTGAGTACATTGCTGCTTCAGAAGCAGCAAAAGAAGCGGTATGGATAAGAAAATTCATCATTGAGCTCGGTGTGGTTCCTAGCATTGTTGGACCAATGGACTTGTATTGTGATAACAATGGAGCCATTGCACAAGCCAAGGAACCTAGATCGCACCAGAAATCAAAGCATGTACTCAGACGCTATCATCTCATTCGAGAAATAGTCAATAGAGGTGACGTCAAGATATGCAAAGTACCGACAGATTCAAATGTGGCTGACCCGCTCACCAAGCCACTACCACAAGCAAAGCATGAACGTCATACTAGTGCATTAGGCATTCGTTTTGTTCACGATTAGTCCTAGTGCAAGTGGGAGACTGTTAGAAATATGCCCTAGGACAATCATAGTTTATGATTTATCAATAAATATTTAATGCTCATTAATTAATAAAGTTGCAAACTCATTTTATGTTAATTATTATTGTGAGTTTTCTTTATTAATATTTAGTCCCTGAATATTCTGTTTAGTAGCTAATTAAGTATGTGACTTAATTGTGGAATGCTACACTTTAAAATAAACATAATATTCTAATTGTCCCTGGTCTAATATTATTAATTTGGGACATTAATAATTAATAGACCAGTATGTGGATTAACTGATGGCTATATTCCACTAGTCATGGGTATAGAGATATCAAGTTAATAACATAGATGCTTGTTAGGGAACAAGTTCATTGGACAGACCCAACTTGGGGACACTGCTAGGTTATATGTCATCAGTGTTGTCCTCAATAATGATGAGGTGCTATATTCTTATACTTGAGATAATCATGGTTACTAGCATGAGAATTAATATGTATTAACACCATTAAATGTTATCTTTAACTGGATAATTATAAAGGTGGTGATTGTACATATTATGAACCATGTAGTAGTATGTGAATTATCAAGATAGTTTTTGTCACTCTTGTACATCGAGAGAAAGATATCTATTGGGCCCCTTGACAAGTAAGATTAATTAGCATGGCCATGCTCAAATGAGGTGTCATTTGATCAAGATTAATCTTACTTGGTAATCAAGAAATATTAATTGAGAATAACAAGGATGACACGACCTAACCTTGTCTCAATTAAGATATCGTTTGACAAAAGAGAATTATTAGCACAAATTAATCATTAAAAGGTTATGTCAGATTTAATTGACATTTATATATTTTGGATAGTCATAATGCCTTGCTAGAGACCGCTTATGATTTGTGAGGCTCGAATTAATTTCTAGCCCACTGCCAATAATATATAAACCTACAGGGTCACACACCTAAGTGATTTGGATCATTAATGTTTGTTAATAACATTAAAATAGCTTGATTAGCCCAATTCGAAAGAGGGTTTCGAATGGTATTGGGCTAGGGCCTCTTTAAGGGTTTTATTAGCCATAAAACTCCTTCTTTCCACCTCTTATAAATAGGGCTAAGGAGACCCACGAATTTTAAGAGTTAAAATTCACTTCTCAAACCTAGAGTAGAGAGGAAGAAAGAAGAGAACGCTAGCACGTTCCCTGCGGCCGATCCAGTCACGTGCGTGTGGATACCAGTAGAGCTCGGGATCGTTTTCTCGGACTGTCTGACATCCTTGATTAAGATTGCTATGTAAGTCCCTCTTAAATTCTTGTAATTTCGTTTATAATAAGAACCTCAGATCCGTTCATTTACTTTTGGGTAGAAAAATTTTTGTTTATTCCGCTGCGTTTTTCTGCCCGAAACCCAACACCCACAACCTGATCCTTGGCCGCATGACCTCGAGGACATGGAAGACATAATTTTTATGAGGCACGTCTCCATAAAATTCCCCACAGTTGAGGGCGTGAGCTATGCCAGAGGCAACCAACGGATCGACCGATCCTGCTACCTGATGATCACCAAAAAGGTGGCTAAGGCATAGCTTCGAGTGGACATCGATACCATGACGGTGGAAATTGAAGAATACCATCCAAGGGCTGAACTTGCAGAAGCCTTGGAAGAGGTTCCACTAGATCTGGCCAAGCCAGATAGGGTTGAGAGGCAGTTCCCGGAGGGGCTGAGGGCAAAAAAAATCTTGGTTGTCCTTTGTGCATACGCCATCATCTTTGTATGGGGTTTGGAGAATATGCCCGACGTCAACAAGGCAGTCATCACCCGCCGCCTCACAGTGGATCCCTCCTCCACGCCCGTCATGCGGAAATGAAGATACTTTTCGGCAGAGAGGAGGGATTTCGTCAAGATTGAAGTCACCATGCTCTTAGGCATCCATCACATCAAAGAGGTGAAGTACCCCACATGGTTGGCAAATGTGGTCTTCACGTAGAAGCCTCCTACCTTCCACATGTGTGTGGGATACACTGACTTGAATAAGGTGTGCCCCATGGACCCTTCCCCGCTCCCCAACATTGATTAGTTGATGGATGAGACGGCGGGACGGGATGCGAAATTATGTTATTCCTCGACGCATTTTTAAGGCATCACCAATATACTCGCCCGTCGAGAAGACATTACTCGCCATCATC